CGCATTCTCATTTCAAAATGAATACCATCGAGAACTCTATTTCTTCTACTGATAATAACTCCTCCACCTCTGACGGGAGGAAGCAAAGTCCACCTGCTTTCTTGGACCTTGCCGACTCTGTAAGTCACTCCCATCTCGGTTTTCGGGCCTGGTTTGATTTGCTGTCCTACTCAGTCTGGGAGGTTGGGGAATAATCTGGGGGATATGTCTGTTGTGAGTCTTCCTTCCAGTTTATCCATCCTGGTGGCCTTATCCGTTTCCCGTCTTTTAGCAACGCTTCGAGATGAAGCGTATCGAACATGAACGGCAACGTGTCCTGCAACGTAAATTATTCGAGGATCAAATGCGTGCTTTAGAGCAGCAGCAGGCCAGGGAACTACTCCATCTCGAACCCGTCCAACACATCGCTGCTTCCGCGCCGACCACGCCTCCTCGCGTCAATGCTGTCCTGAACGGCGAGATCCATAGCAATCTTCGTCACAGTCGTATTCTCGTGGACCCCGAAACTCTGTCCAGAGTCGTTGGAACCGCAGCAGACAAGCGCAAATCGGTCACGTACGCTCCCTCCGTCAATCTTTCTCCCGATCTCTCTGCTCCAAGCAAGGGCTTCTCACGCGCTGCTGGAGCCAAGAGCATGCCTGCTAGTCGACGAACCTCGGCCAGCAGTCACGACGAGGAAATCGCCAGTCACCTCCAGAACCTTTCCTTGATTGGCGAGCGATCCAACAGAGCATCTCCTATTCCTGGTCCTATCTCTGCGTCTATTATGCTTCGCTCGGGTAGCCGTTTCAATGACGACGAAGGTGCACGCTACGCTAGCACGTACAACGCCGGAATGATGCTCGACGAGCAGCTTGATCAGGAAATGCACAGTGAGTCCCAGCTCCCACCTCGTATCCCCTGGGAGTTAATCTCGCTTAGATGCTATGCGCCATCTTCCAACTTCTGATGATGACAAGTTTCCAAATTCCTTTGGAGCGAGGGTAAGGGACTCGTTGGTCTTCAAGGTCATCATTGATTTTTTAAATACAGATTTCTACGTCTTCCGCTGCTCTCGACTTGGCTCATATATCGCAAACCTCGCCTCGTGCGCACTTCGCGAACCGTGCCCTTGATCCTCGGGATAAGCCTTCGGAATGGCCTCAGTTCTCTGCCCCTCGGGGCCCGGATGGTCTATCTTCCAGGTCAGAAAGACGAACGGTGACCAATCCGAGCATCGCATTGTCTAGCGTCGTTGACGAGCTTAACGGGACTAAATTGGGCGCCACAATTTCTGCGTCACCTTTACTTCAACAACACTCCCAGGGCCAACAGCCCTTGTCTCGTCGCGGTTCACCTCCCAGTTTCCTCGATAACCTCGGTGCCACCACTCGTTCCGTTCCCGCTACACCACTTGGCATCCCGAACTCGGCATCCCAGCTTCTCAAGACACCTGGAACACCTCTCGATGCTTCTGTAGCGAACCGCCTGTCTGCCCAAGGTTTCCCCCTCAACGATGGTGTCAACGGCGACTTGCAGGCTTCTCTGTCCAGACTTCCATCCCAGTACGAAAATGGTCTTGGTTATGGCTCCTTGCAATCCAACGGTCTTGACGAGGTATGTTTTGGTGTATTTACAGTGTTGGTATAACTCACGTTCTGGTAGCACTACGGATTGGATGGTGTTTACGGATTGAATGGTGGCCTTGATAACGGACGTTTGGGTTACGGTTTTGACGCTACTGCTCGTGCGAACGCCGTCTCTGCCGCGATCACGAACGCAAGCGGTTCGACTGCTTTGTATCACCACAACGGAACTCGATATGGTTTGGGCTTGGGTGGCCGACCTGCTAGTCTCGGACCTGCTGATGGTAAAATGAACGGTTTACACGGGCCCAAACACAAGCGAGGTGACATGGACCGCGAATGTGAGTCGTCGTTTCGTATTGCTTAGTCTCCGACTTATAAGTACCGTTGCAGTCAACCGTTTTGCTGGAACTCGTCTCGAGGATCTGCAAGGCGAAATCCCTGCTCTTTGTAAGGATCAACACGGCTGTCGATACCTCCAGAAAAAATTGGAGGAAGGTGTGCCTGAACATCGGGATATGATCTTCCGCGAGACCTTTGGCCATTTCGCGGATCTCATGACCGGTTCGTTTTCGTTCCCTTCGCAGACTGCGGTTGTTGACGAGTTTGTTCAGATCCTTTTGGTAACTACTTGTGCCAAAAACTCCTCGAGTTCTCTACGGATGAGCAACGCAACTTGATCTGTGAATCGGTCGCCCAAGATCTCGTCAACATCTCTCTGAATATGCACGGCACTCGGGCTGTGCAAAAGATGATCGACTTCCTATCCACCCGCCGACAGGCAAGTTTTGTTCCAAACTAAATCTAGCTCACCCACTTACAGGCGAACAACAGACTGATGTCAGATATAATGCTCAGATCCACTCCATCATCGTTGCTCTCAGCCTCCATGTGGTCGTGCTTATCAAAGACCTGAATGGCAATCATGTCATTCAGAAGTGTTTGAACAAGTTGGCACCGGAGGATAACCAGGTACGGCGTTTGCCTTTGCTGCTGAGATTTTTTTTTGCTGAGGTTTGGTATTTGAATCAGTTCATCTATAACGCTGTTGCGGCGAACTGTGTCGAAGTTGCTACTCATCGTCATGGTTGCTGTGTTTTGCAGCGTTGCATCGACCACGCTTCGGATGCACAACGCGTTCAACTCGTCAACGAGATTACATACAACGCGTTGACTCTCGTTCAAGACCCATACGGCAACTACGTATGCATCCCCCTCCCATTCACGACCACCAGAACGCTGCTAACACTGAATTCAGGTGGTGCAATACATTCTCGACTTGAATGACAACAGGTTCAGTGACGGCGTCATCCGTCAATTCGCTGGAAATGTCTGTGCGCTCTCGGTTCAGAAGTTCAGTTCCAATGTCATCGAGAAGGTACGCAGTTTCCCTTTCGTTCCATTTTTTTTTTTTGAGCTAACCTTTTTTCTGTAGTGTGTCCGCGTTGCGGAACATAGCACTCGCAAGATGCTCATCGAGGAGCTCCTGAACCGCAGTCGTTTGGAGAAGTTGTTGCGCGATTCTTATGGCAATTACTGTGTTCAGGTGAGTTCAGCGTTATCGTTATGACGTTTCTTGTCATTTATAGTCCCTCTTAGACTGCATTGGACTACGCCGAACCCAATCAACGAGCATTACTTGTTGAAGGCATTCGCCCTGTCCTTCCACTCATTCGCAATACACCCTATGGAAAGCGTATCCAAAACAAACTACAACGTAAGTCCGCCTCGATATACTTCTCATGAGCTGAAGTACTTATGATGATTTATTTTCGGTTTACATAGGCCTGGGCGGTGCCGGAGGAAATGGTGCACCCCACAATGCGCGCCATGTTCAACAAAACTTGCACGGTAACAATCCCCTGGCCGACGTTTACGGAGCGCAAAACGGTTTGTATCCTATCCAACAACCGACGGCACCTTTTGCACAGTCACATCTATCGTCTCCCTTGCACGGACTTCAACCTCAATCCATCGATGGTTACGTTCTTCAAAGTAACTCGAGTCATAATCTCTCGTCTCACAGCAATGGATTCTCGACCTCGGCTTTCCCGACTGTCAACCATTTTGGTGCAGCTGGTCTGACAAACACGCTTAACGATCCCTATCAGCGTTCTGCGTTTGGATACGGCATGTAAACCACCCTTCATCTCATACCACCATCTACTATGGGCACTTGTTCCTCGCCATTCGTTTCGAAGACACAACGGACCCTGTCATCTTTTCATCTCCCATCCATTGTCGTTGACCACGACTGATACCTCTTTGTCTGTTTCCTTTCCACCCATTTACCTTACTCGAAGACTTTTTCAGTTGAAACTTGTTGTCTAGTCCCGTCCTGCCGCATCATCTATCCCCCTGGGCCTTTTATCCAAATCATACCTAAACCTGCACTTGTATTTTGCAACCGGCATTTGCTTTTCATGCTTTCCTGTTACAACAATTCTTATCTGCCAAAACCCATTTGTACAGGTCTTTTTCCTCCAATCACTCCCTAAATCGGTTGTCTGTCTAATAGTATCCCTCGTCGCAGCACTATTGTCTGTAGTTATTCACCCCATCCATCAGCTGTATAAAGTCCTTAATTAGAATTTAGCTCAGTGGAGTTTGTGTGCTTCCGTTCGTTTGGTGATAACTTGTGCATATATTTCAAGACAGGTAAGTTCGACTGGCTTGTCGTATCAGTTTGCCAATACACTTTGCGAGATCGCATTCAAAAATGTTTTTGGCGTTGTGCCGGAAGGCCATATATTGCATGTATCCTGTGGGCATGACATGGTGTGTAGAGCGAAATGATGCTAGGAAAATCGACAGCCTCAACAACAGAAAATCACCGGTTCTAATGCCACGAATCAGTCTTAATTCAACAGACCCACAAGCAACGAGAATGCGGACCTTCGAGAAACCGATGGCAGCAGACTTTTCACGGAAACATTGACGGCAGAGGTCAAGACCGTACTTGCGGATGAGACCAGCCTGGTGGGCGCACAGACGGCTAAGAAGCGGCGAAGGTCGTCGTTGGTCTTGGTAGCTGGACGAGAAGACCATGAACATACCATTGACGGCTGCCCTTACCGAACTTTCTGGGGCGAGAGAACCAAACGGAGTCGTGTGTCATTTTGATGTTATTTTATGCTTTGAGTACTCGTAAGTGTGCTGGACGATAAAATGGTCTACGTGGGGGACGTACTGTAGTTGCACAAAAGCCCTGCACGTTTACTGAATTTCCAATCAACGGGGGCGAATGTTGTGGGTCCCGAGAGCGCTTACGTAAACTATACAGTACCACCTTCATGGTGATGTCAACTGCCACGCTCTCCGAGATAGCCAGGTTCTGATAAACGAACATCCTTCCTTCGCTTAGAGTATATCGATCTGAAAGTGCTGAGAAACGGAGGAAAAAGAAATGGAACGAAGGGAGGTGAAAAAGTAACTAGCCCACCGCGAGGGTCGAACTCGCAGCCTTCAGATCGCCCGGGACGAAGCCCACCTAAGAGTCTGACGCTCTATCCGATTGAGCTAGGCGGGCTTGTATTCTCAGGGACCAAGTGGCTTCTATATCCGTCCGGCCGTGCTGCCATTCTGGGAGGTGTCCTCGCTGAAAATGGAAGTCCCTTTATACCTGCGCCCATAATGGAGGACTGCAGGGCAGCGTTTAAATACCATGGCGCAGTGTGACCGTTGGTGCCCGATTTCTCCTCCCCTACCGGTTCCAAGAACACCCTGCTCATCGTCGTCGCTGGAAGGAAATGTCGTCTTGGGCCCCTGCATTGTTCGCCTTGATGTGCCTAATGAAGGCACTGGTCGTCGTCGCAGCGATTCTCCTCGCAAGAGTCTTCATGTGGGCCGCTGGCATGTTTGTGGTTGCTCCGTTCGACCCACTACGCAAACTACCTGGTCCTGATGGCACCTGGTTTGAAAATCACTTCTCGGCCGTCCTGAAGTGCGTTACTCAGCGTTATTCTTTTTGATCGTTAATTGACGCGATTCTAGCCCCAATTTCTCTCCTGATACACATGCGCGTTGGACTAAACTGTATGGACACACGTTCCGCTTTCATGGCTTTGGCAAGGTCTGTTTGCGTTGTCAATCACTCTCAGACTACTCACAACTCTTCCAGCACGATTATCGGTTGATGTCGTTCGATTTTCGGGTAGTGGCGCATGTCTTGAACTCGCCAACTTTTGAGAAGCCGTGGCAGACACGTTTGTCTCTCTCTAGACTGGTTGGGCGAGGTAAGCACATGCTCCGACGCGTAAACTGCAACTAACACCTCATCCCTAGGTCTTATCTCATCAGAGGGTGCTGAGCATAAGCTGCAGGTAGGTCATATCAGTTGGTCAAGCACCTTCCACTCACGTTGTTTCAGCGGCGACATCTTGCACCAGGGTTTACGACACGTTCCATGAAGTCCATGACCCCGGTTTTCTTCCAGAAGGCGCAGGAATTAGCCTCTCATTGGCACAACAACCTGGTTTCGTCCCCTAGCGTATCTTCAGATTTTCCATTCTCCCTGACAGATACTTCTGTAATCGTTGATGTCGTTCACTGGGTCTCCCGAGCGACCTTCGACGTGATCGGATTGACGGGATTTAACTACAACTTCCGCTCCCTACAAGACGAATCGGACAGTGTTTATTTGGCCTACCGAAAGATGTTCGCTATTGCGGATAAAGGCCCTGGCCTCCGAGGGCTTCTATCCCTCTTCGTCCCCTTATTGAACACCCTTCTGGTGGGGCATCTCCGTTCCTCTCAATGTTCTACGCTCAACCGTGTTTGTTTTAGCCAACAGCAGACACGAAAGCCACCGATGAATGCCTCAAGGTAATCAAGGAAGTTGGCAAAACTTTAGTTGCGAACACCAAGGCAAAGATCATAGCGGAAAAGACCAACGGGGATGATAGCGATGACCGTGACATTCTCAGTGTCCTTGGTAGGTGTCAAGGTTCTTGCGGATAGCAAGGTCCTGACATTGGTGCTCATACAGTGCGATCCAACCTCTCCGTCGATGCGTCCAAACAACTTAGCGACGAAGAACTTCTCGATCAGTGCTCAACTCTACTCCTCGCTGGCACGGACTCTGTCGCTCTTGGTATCTCCTGGTCTCTGTACCACCTCGCCCACAGCTTGGAAGCCCAGACCCGAGTTCGCAACGAACTGTCCTCCATCGACTTAGATAGCATCCCAGCCGAACAACGTTGGGAAGCCCTGGAATCTCTTCCATTCTTAGATGCCGTTGTTCGCGAAGCCCTTCGTTTGTCTCCGCCTGCTCACAGCACCATCCGTGTCGCAGTCACCGATGATCACATCCCAATCTCACAACCCGTCGTTCTCAGGGATGGCACAGTCATCTCAAAGGGTGAATACATCGACATCAAGAAGGGGAGCTTCGTACATATTCCAATCGAAGGGATCAATTTCTCTGAGGAACTCTACGGAAAAGATGCCCGCGAATTCAGGTATGCTTTTCCCCATTCCTGTCTCCCTTGTTACCCGCTAACGCAACTGTGTCTTCACCTTATGTAGACCTGACCGTTGGGCTGATCTATCATCAAGCGCACGAACTCCGCAGCACCCGGGCCTCGGGGACTCGATGACTTTCTCTCTCGGCCCCCACTCCTGCGTGGGTTATAAATTCAGTATCGCCGAGATCAAAGTCTTCCTGGGCACTCTCCTGCCCCAATTTGTTTTCAAACCTCAAGAAGGGACCGAAATTTTGAAATTTAACGCGATATTGACCAAACCCTATGTAAAAGGTCAATGGCAAATGGGTGCTCAACTTCCGTTGGTCGTCGAGCGTTATCACGGATGATTGTCTTCTCCTCTTTCTACATAGATATCCCGTCTTGGGCTGGTTCTGTATTTTCTGGTAATCTTATGTCAAGTAATTATTCATGTAGCAACAGCATATGCATGTATTGGTTGTAATTCTAGACTACTGAGCTACTATCTAGCTACATACTCTTACTATCTTCGTTCATGTTCATTATAATTACATTAATCAGGTTCTCTGGAGAGAAATACTGCTGGCTTTCTTGGATCAGGGCGATTGATCGCACGCCTGCACCCTACCAAGGTTCAATGACAATGGACCCCATGGCCTTCGTGAGGGCGTCGAGATCGGAATCCAGGATGGTCGGTGTGGGTGGTTGTACCTTGGTAGCACCAGGCCCAAATCCTGTTACTTCCACGATTTCATCCGAGTCGTCTTCAGCGACGTCGATCGAATGAATGGTCAGCGTCATTGGCGAATCTACAAAAGCTGACGCGTAAATACTCGACTCATGGAAAGAGGTGGAGACAAACCGTTTCCTTTCTCGGCCGCATTCCTACCAGTCTTGGGTGTGGAGTTTCGAGTTGTTTTTCGAGTAGCGAAGAGAGGGACCAGCCTGCCTTCTCTACAGACTCCACATACTGCGGGAAGAAAACGTGTAAGAACCAGGTAACTTGAGAGAATCGTGACGTACAGCATGCCTCGGGGTCAATAGATTTACTGAAACGACCATAACTGTAAACTGTTTAGTTTTTTATCGTCAGCGTTCATGGTTATCCAATTCCTCACATCTTATCACATTTTTGGCATTCTAATCCTGTTGTCAGCTTCCAAACGCGAGATTGTGAGAAGCAACTTACTCCACTGATATTTGTAGGAAATCTCGTAGTCGTGCCGCGTCTACGCAACCCCGTAAGTGGTTCAAATCGAGGATATACTGATTGACTGTAACCTACAGAAATCTCGATCTCTGGACGCTTTCGTTGAACCTTGAGAGCCCTAAGAGGTCCACGTTAGCCAGGTGCTTTCCAGATACAACCCCCAAGCCTCGCTCACCAGGCTTTCCAGATCCTGCCATGGTTCTCTGTCGGAGCTTGGTCGACTATCCACGATGCAAGATGACACATTTCGTGGGCAAGAGTATTCCTGATACGCTCTACCACGAAGTTAAATTTAATTATAGTTTTTCATCAACACGGGAAGAACGACGAACCGTCACAATCTAGAATCTTATCGGCCAGCTCAATTTCGCTGGTCTGGACACCATCGCGACTTCTGATTATATCACAATAAGTCATTCGAGTCAATACTGCTCGCAATTGAAGCCTTACCTATGCCACTTAGCTCGGCCTGCAGTTGTTAGGAGTCGATTATTCCAAACCAACTTCGTGTCCTGAGGAAGGCGGTCGCCAAAGACCCGATGGTTCAAATCGTTGAATAACTCTATAGCGTAGTCTCTCCGACGAGTTTGTTCAGCTTGCGCCTGAGCTTTTTTAGAGGTACGCGAGGGCTGAGCAGCTTTGGCTGACGTCTTCTTCTTTGGTGGCGTAGAAGGGGACTGCATGACTGCGGAAGCTGGCTCAGGAAAAGCGCCAGGTAGGGCGACATCTGGGGTCCCAAACACATCCTCGTTTGGTTTCTTGCTGGCTCCAGCTGGTTTCCGAGGCCGACCTTTGGCTGGGGTGTCAGTGGCCTTTGGGGTTTGGAACGGCTTTCGGGCACTCTTGGGCTCATTCCTGAAAGGAGTCAGAGGGTGTCAAGGACCTGTACGTAAAGGACGAGTTCGCGCTTACAATGTCAAGATGGCATCGTCGCCGTAGTTATCGTCGTAAAATTCATCATCAAGGAAGAGTGGCACAAGCTTTTCATGGATGACTGGCGAAAGTTGGATCTCTTTAGTAGCCTTCTTTCGTGAACGGGGCTTGGGAGCCGGCTTCGGGCTCTCTGGTTCGCTATCCGTGAGTTCGATAACCTCACGTGGAGGCATCACACACGAATTGTCATCAGAATCGTCCGAACCCGGACTATCCATGATCCTTCGCGAACTGTGATACTTTCGCGTCTTGGTTATCTGTGGTGACGAGCGAGGAGTCCAAGTGCTGCTCAGAGTGTTGCCCATGGTCGTTAGTGTTGAGATTAGAGAGAGACTGCGGAGTGAACTGCTACTTACCTTGCTGCGACATTCTTCGTGGGAGATGAAGTGGACTTCGCTGGACACGCGCCCGAAAAGTTCACTTCAAATGGATCATCCAGGATAGCATTGGCGCTGGGGCTAACACAGACAATGCTCAACGCAAGGGAAGGAAATTGCGTCACCAGGCGACCTACCGATCACAAGAAAATGAACCAAACACGTCTTCGTCCAGCCGATATTCCATTGCCAGTGTTCTAAAAACGATTGTAAGCCGTGTGACCATCAATGCCGTTGAATTCAAACGGATATGCCACGTACTGAACCCGTTCCTCCTCGCTATCTGGGATAACTTCAACCTGCCAACTTCCTTGTGGCCGAACGCGATAAGTCGTTCCAGCACTTCGAAGGTCTCCCACTCCCGACTTCCCTTCTTTCGGTGAGAACGTACTAGGGCCCGGCCTAGAGTTCAGAACGCTTCCTGATACATTTCTCAATGCCTCAGGTGACTTTTGCTTTTTTCGAAGCGACATGCCGTCTTGAAGGGGGGAAGGTGCAAAAGCTGGTTGGAGATGAAGGTTAAGAAAGAGATTGGGGGACTCAAAGATCCTCTCCGCTCGAGAGG